TCTGGTTATTAGATTGTAATTATGCTAAGATTAAATATAAAATACAAGTAACTACAAGAGACATTTAGATTAGATTTAAGCCCATAAATAGATTTGCACACCTTATAAGACCACATATACACAAATTTTAAAGTATGAAAAGTCCCATGAGTCTTTGCTGCCTGAGCATAAGTTGAATTTTCTCCATGTCCATGGGCTGAAAAAAATTAACTAAAGAATGTGGACAACCACACTGGCTGCTAGCTTAATCATAAAAAATAAAACAACTTTACTTAAGTATTAAGCATTTCTTATATTATTGCATTTGGCCCGCGACCCTCAGATTGAGTTTAATTTTGGCCCTCTCAGGAAAACTGTTTTTTTATTTTGGCCCTCTCAGGGAAAATGTTTGGGCACCCCTGTTTTAAAGCTTAAAGAAGCAAAGAACTAACTACTAATGGGAGCCAATGCTAGCAATTGGTCAAAAGCAGCAAACCTTAGCAAAAAGTTAAAAAATAACATCACATTCGCTAAAGCTGAAAGGCTCAATACGCTAAATAAATAAACAAATAAATAAATAAATTATAAGTGGAAAAAAGACTAACCAGAAGCCAAAAGTCAAAAAACGTAAACTAAAATAGCTAAATGCTAGCTAAAAGAAGCTAAATGTTAGCTAATGTAAGTAAAACAGAGCATGGATGCTGAAGAGTGCAATGTTTTTGAAGGAATATACGGTAATACATCCTAATGCGTTTTTTTTATTAATGCCATATGTCTGTTGACAATAATAAAACTTAATAATTTTCATGTACATCAAACAGAACATCTTTTACATCGTTTTGTGTCATGTGTGCGACTCAAAACAACAAAGAACGCGGACTGATGCGATTAACTACATTTCCCAGCATGCCTGGAGGTCAGGGCGGAAGTGTCGTCACGAGATGCTTATAAAGCTGCTCCCCAGGCTGCTCGGCGCGTAGCGGGGTGAACCTGCTGCCGTTGCCATGGGACGAGCGGACGATATGAAGCTGACAGCTCGTGCAGAAATATCGGCTAAGTTGCACCTTTAGCTAACTCGAACTATGTGACAACTGGGTCTTCCGAATGAGGCGTGTTATTATTTATTTGTTTATTTTATTCTTTATTTCGGACTTTTATTTTAAATTACCATGAAAATGGACAAGGCGGAGCGGGCGCAAAAGTTAACCCGGTGGTGTCCTGCGGATGTTGCCGTGCTCCTCGAAGTCCGCTAACGGGTCCCGGAGATGCCGCCTCTCTCAGCGGGACTTCAGCTGCAGCCACACGGAGGAGGGAGGGGGAAATAACGGAATTACCTTTCGGACCGAAGAACTGTGAGAGCCCGCCGCTGGCTCCGAATTTCTCCGGGAGTTCCCACCAATGAAGACACGGGATATTTTCCAGTTTATCGTTTTATAGGTAGACTCATTAATTATTTTTACACGTTATTTCTATCGGTTAAAAATAAACTGCTTGCAAATGCACTGTTTAGCATATAATCCGCAAACGTACGGCTATGAATGGCTAAATTTATGGACATTCCTCTGCTATAAACGGAACCACCTTTGAGCAGCTGTCCATTATGTTCCGGATTATAATTCATAGCACCATAGTTGCAAGTCAAACAGTCCAGGGATTAGTCTTATCCAAAAGTGAAATCTGACGCCGATGTAACAGTAGTCATTTTGTTAATTATTTAGCTCATAATGAAGCCGAACCTCACACTCAGACCTATCCAGGATGTCTTGTTTTTGTATTTTTTCCTCCTCTTTGGCACATTTTGTTAGATGGCAGCATGAAAAGTTGGCGGGTGAAGTTGCCTTTACGCACCGGAAAGCATGCGTCCTGCAAATAGGAATACCCGTCTTCCTCTGTGACAGTTTTTGGAAAGTCGCATGACTTTTTTTTAATGATCATTATTTGAACAGATCGCCTGCTCTCTCTATATTCATTTTGGTGGGGGGATGGGGTGGGGAAGAAGGGAGCACAAGTGTGGTGATTCTCTCTCGCTGTTTCCATGCGTCTTTCTTCTCCTCCTCCAGACCTCTGGACGTTGCTGTGGATTGTGTTGCAGCTTCATGCGATGGGCTGCATCCAGAGCATCAGGTGTAAGCCCAAGAGTTTCCGAGACAGCGTCGTCGTCCTGGATCTGAACGCGTCCATCGACTCCAGCCCCACCATCGTCGACGAGACATCCAGCGTGGTCCTGCGCTACAGGACGCCGCACTTCCGAGCGAACGCGCGGCTCGAGGTGCCGCCTGTCACGGCCAAGGAGACGTGGACCATCGGCTGGATTCAGGCGTGTAACCACATGGAGTTCTACAACACCTACGGGGACAAAGGGATGTGAGTGCAGCTACTGTGTGTTATTTTTAATGAATGCTGGGTGAGACTTGTGTCAAAAATGTAGTGATTGCTCTCTAAGACAGTATTTCCCAAACATCAAGGTGGGGTCCTGAAAAGATTTTCTGAATTAATTATATTTTTGCCTTAGTTGTTACAAAGGAGTGAGGTTAGTGTATTTAAAATGGATAAATGTAGTATAAAAATATTGTTACAATGCCCATGTTTAGTTGACCTGATACAAATGTTTATCATCCAAAAATATTTGGGGGCACAGGACTCTGCTACTGTTATTTTCTGGGTCAAAAGCTGAAAGGTTTGGGAACCAGTGCACTTTGGTTCCCAAAGTTGGACTTGGGACCCAATTATGGGTCATGAAGCACCTTGGATAATCTCCAGAAACCAATTTAAAGGGTAATAAAATAATTGCTGATGTAACATTTTCCCTATAATTATTACAAAAACACAAAATAAGTATAAATAAGTATTTACATTTGTGTACAAGCTGTTTAGATTGTCAAAAAGCCTGTGTTTTTAGGGTTATTAACAAAGTTTGTGTACTCAGACCAGTAATATTTGGGGTCACAAGTTTTTGCCGTGGACATTTTGTGGGTCAGAAGATAAAAAGTCTGGGAACCACTGCTCTAAGATCTGCCACAAGTCAGAGGACAAAAGTGGTTCAGTCACTTTGATTAGTCATCTAATCAAATAAATATTTAGTTTAAACACATTAAATATGTTCAATTTGAGGTATTTGATGAAACCAATTGTTCAGATGTTCTCGAGTATTTAACTTGAGTAAAGGGTAAAAAAGGAAGAGTACAAGAAATAGTTTTTTTACACATAAATATCTAAAAAAAGAAGAAGGGAAAACACTCCATTAACTTGATTTATTAAATGTCAGAAAAGGGAAACTACACCAACCTCAAATCTATTTAGGCATCTCATAGTCAGTGTAAAAACAGCAACAGAAATCAATCTGTAAAAAAAATACAGTTTTAAAACATTAAAACTGAATCAGTATACATGGAAGTAAACTATCTTGTAAAGCTGTTTTTCATCCATGTTTGATAAAAACATGAACTCAGATGCTTCAGGAAGTGGAAATTCATACTAAAAAATGCCAAAAGAATAACAATATCTGAACAGCCATTGCATTTGAACAAAAATTGCACAAACAAAACCAATAAAAACTTTATTTTAGCGTTACTTATTGGGAAAGTCTAAACTTGTGTGTTTGTGCTCTAAAAACTCCAGGGGAAACATTACTCAGAAGCGAAACTTTAACAAGATTGGAATTTTATTTATAGTGACGTTTCTGATCTGTTCCGTGCCAGAAATGGGAGTTGTCATCTTATTTACTGTACGGGCAACTACACGGCTGCTCCAGAGCGTGCTTTATCTGCAGCCGCTGCAGGACAGGATGTCTGAGCGCTGCGTGACTAAGATTAGAGACAAGGCCCCTCTCCCTGACACCCCCCACCCCACTGTGGCCACGCACATTTAACTTCACCTCAGTCACGCTTTAAAAGTTCGGCTTCGTCAGCGCGTTTCTGTGAAACTGAAATGTGTGTAGAGCAGCTACATCTTGTGTGAATAAATATTTTAGTTTTTCCTGGTCAGTAAAAAAAATTCTGCAGAATAACAACCGAAATGATCCACACCGTCAACATCTTTTAGAAGACTGTACAAACTGCTGACAACAGTTCCTCTCTGATGTTATTTAAATTAGGATATAATACACTCTGCTACAGAAGTGGGTCACGGTGAGAAAATTGTCACGGCTTGTCTGAGCAGGTTCAAGACCAAAGTGAATAACTGATGTTTTAATAAGATAAGATAAGATAAAACTTTATTGATCCCACAGTTGGGAAATTTGCACATTACAGCTGCTCAAAACAGGACGGGGTGAGATAGAATAAAGAAAGATAAGTAAAAGAAAAACAAAAAAAAAAACTATACTTGTGATTTAAAACAATGTACATATACCTAGTACAGTACATAAATGAATATATACAGTATGCAGGTGCATATTACTGATGCCAGTGTAAGTGAATTGTCCAAGTGACTGATAACATCAATGTGTTATACAATCTAACTGCAGATGGAATGAATGACTTTAATGATGATATAATAA